CCCCCCCCAACCATGAATTTTTCCAATCAGTCAGCTTTTTATCCACTGAGTAACTACAGAGTTACCAACAGTGATTAAACCCATAGAGAACCAGTTTTCCAGCTCAAACTGGAAAGTAATAGGTTTTTAAATGAAAGGAGATATGCCCGAGGGCAGCTAAGTCTAAGTAATTCTTTTTATTATATAATATTTCTCTGAAAAATTTCTCCCTCACTAAACCCACTTTGATGCTAACAAATAATTTGATGTTATAATACAAAAAAAACCCTGCCTAGGTTGTTTTATCTGAGATGATAATTTAAAACAAAATGAGCAGGTGATTTATATTTTTACTTTGAAATAAGTTTGGCATGTCTGAATTCCACGCTGACGAAAACAGAGGCCAACAAATTCACTCATCAGCAAAAATAAACTTTCTAAACCGAATCTCTTCAGCGTGAGATCAAAAACAGTCTGCTCTTAGAGGATTCCCAAATGCTACCTATTCCAACTCTTTTTTAAAAGTCAGCTTGTTTCTCCGAGAAACAACACACATCCAATGTGACATAAAAGCGCCATCTACCTGAAATGCAAAGTAACCAGCAGCCACATTTTTTCTCACAGAATTAGCAGGCGTAGATCATTTATTTCACTATTTCTTTCTTTTACTGGCAGGTCCATCCAAAACTTCTATCTTGCCTTTCCCACCTTCTGAATGAGGAAGCTTGATGTTATCTATGGTGACTTCAGAAGCGGTGCTGTCATCTTCATCCTCAGATTCTGAACTGTCCCCTGAACTGTCCTGTGAATTCTCTTCTGAACTGTCCTCTTCTTTTGAATCACACTGATCCATCTCAAACAGGGCCACATCCTAAAAAAAAAACCACCACGTGGGAAATTTATTTCCCCAAAAAGGTGCAATAAAACATTGGGAACAACCAACATCTAGCACAATATTGACGCACAAAGGACATATTTTTAATACAATATGGCACTTTGATTCTTTCAGTTGCTGTAGTTCACCATAACGATTTACATTTACTCCAAGTTTAAAAAGACCCCCATGACTCAATTCTATGTGACTTGAATACACTCTTTCATTCAACAGCTATTAACATGAGCCAGGTACCATACCAGGTACTGGAGATTCAACAATAACAACAAATTGAGCCCCTTTTCACATGGGGCTCAATAATAATAATAAGTTATAAGTAATTCTGTTATATAATGCATTCTGTTAAACATATCATTAATATTTTCATTCTCAATGAATCAGACTATGACTATCTCTTTGGACCTTGGATGGGAAAAAAAACCAACAAACCCAGTTAGGACTTTTACTAAATTAATGCTTCAAGATAACAAATGTAATATTTAACTTGGAAAAGCCCGCCTAGGATTCTGTATTACCTCACCTAGGGAAGCTTATGGACCTATAAGATCCTTAATCTTTAAATGACCAAGTGCCTATGCAGCTGACTTTCCAGGGAGAAAAGTAACAGAATTAAAATGGAAAAGTTCTCTCCCTTTTTAGGTGATGAGGCGCACGGGTAATTTTACTATAGGAAATGAAAACAAAGCATAGTTACCATTTGTATAACTTTTCCAAGAGTCTCATCAATATTTTCAATATTGAAACGACCAGGTGGTGCAGCTGCCATGTCTTTTCTCAGCTGTTCATTTGCCTGAGCCATCTGTGGGAGAAAGGTCTGTACTTGCTCCAATACTAAGGAGAGAAAATATAGCTTATCAATACTTACGTTAGCATCTGCCCAAAGTTGAAATTTTAAAATCCAGAATTTCCTGTGAAATCCAGAATTTCCTGTAAAACAGTTCTGAATTTAATAGTAATAATAATTACTATAAATTTTTCAAATTCCTTTCATTTGAAAAATCTCCATTCTCTTCTGAACTCTTAAAGCAGTAGGACCACACAATTCAGCAATTATTTCTCAATGTGTTATTTGGGTTTTTCCTATGCCCCCGGGGCTGTAACCTCCTGAAGGCTGGCATTCGACAAATAGGAACTGAATAAGGAGGCGTATGGCTTAATAGTTAGGGCAGCGGGCGGTGGCAGACTGTCATGGTTACCAAGAGAAGCCCAGCTCCACCTCTGACTATCTGAATCACCTTGGGCGTGTTGGTTAAGTAGTGGTGGTTGTGACCTGTCCACCATCTGTTCCTCTTTCTTCTAATAACAAAACCCTGACTTTCCTTTTTATCTCTGTCGCTCTTAGTCACTCCTGTCCCTCACCGTGGGTGTGCCTACATGCTCCGCAACCTTGGCCACCACGAGTTGGTTCAGGAGCACACACAGTGACACCGTGATCTAGTCAGACCAATAAGAGATCGCCCTGAAACATGGTTTGGACTGTTGAGGAAAAAAAAAAAATCTTTCTGAGTGAGTAACTGGGCGAGCTACTGAATCTAAGCCTGGAGATGCTGATAAACTGGCCAACTTGCCGGCGGTGGGGGAAGAGCCTGCTCCAGATGAAGGCAACACTTGGGAGAGAAAGCTAAGAGATGCAGAGCAGCAGACCCCTGATGACACCGAGCACGTGGAGGCAGATGTATCTGAAATCACTAGGGTTTTTTTCCCCCCATAAAAAGAGCCAACACAATTTATTTCCTTCCTTCCTCCCTCCCTCCCTTTCTTTCTTCTTTTGTGCTTAAGGCAATCCAAGTTGGGTTTTAGTTATTTACAATAACAGGAGTCCTAACTATTACATTTAATTTAACCACTTGAAACCTCAGTTTACTCATCTGTAAAATAGGGATGACAACTGCCAAGCATTGTGCTTTGAACAGAGGAGTCAACAAACAAGGGATAATAGTTTCTTTCTCTTTCAAAAGAGGTCCAGCACATAACTAGCTCTCAAAACACTAAGTCACTGACACAGCTACACAGCAGGTGACTAAATTGTCCAAAGTACAGAAGAAAATGGTGGCAAAGGTCAAGAAATGGGGCTGCTGGAAGAATTAAATGGGGTGACATACACACCAAGCTCCACACCACATCTGGCACACACTAAATAGTAAATAAATGTGAAACTTTCATGCCCCTTCAGATACACAGAGTAATAAAAATAAAGGCATTTATGTGTCTACATATTTAAGTCTATATGAAGTTTGAGGCCAGATTTTGTTCTGCTTTGGTTTGTAACTAACGGATTATGGGGAGCAAATCAAGGACCTACATGTGTGGCATGGACCATGATTCTGAGAAGCCAAAAATTTCTATGGTATTCTAGACCAGTACAAGCTGAACCCTTGAAGCTAGTCCAGCTGTAGTTCTTCTAAACAGAATAAAACAAAATCCAGCATACGATAACATAAAGTTCAAAATGCCCAGCATCCAATAAAAATTACCAAGCATGCAAATAAGCCAAAACATATTATCTACAAAGAGTAAAAAAAAATATTCACAGTAGCCAAGACATGGAAACAACTCAAGTGTCTGTTGAGGGATGGATGGATAAAGACATTATAGTACATTCATACAATGGAATATTATTCAGCCTTAAAAAAAAAAACACCACACAGTAGAATAAAAATCAATAGAAATGGGTCCAGAAATGACACAGATTAAACAATAAGAATGTAAAAGCTGCTATTATAAACACCCCCCATAGTCAAGAAAGCACAGAAAAGCATGATCACAATACAGAAAAAAATGAAAGATATAAATAAAAGACTCAAATTGAACTTCTAGACGTATAAACTACAATATCTGACAAACAAACTGGATGGGATTAAACAACAGATTAGACAATAGAGAAGAAAAGATTAGTGAACTTGAGGACAGCAATAGAAACTACCCAACATGAAACACACAAAGACTAAAAAAACAAAACAAAACCAACTAGCAGAGATCTGTGGGACAATTTCAAGAAGTAAAATTATGTGTAGTTGGAGTCCCTGCAGAAAGGTCAGAGGGAAAGGGGGACAAAAAATATCTGAAGAAAAAATAGCCAAAAATTTCCCAAATTTGACAAAAACTAAAATCCACAGATCCAAGAAGTTCAACAAACTCCAAACTCAAGAATCACAAAGAAAACTACAATACATCACCATCAAAGTGAAAACCAGTGATAAAGAAGAAATCTTAAAAATAGTCAGAAAAAAAGGGAAATATTTTATATATGAAGATAGCAGACTTCTCATCAGAAACAATATAAGTCAGAAGACAGCAGAGTGGCATCTTTGAAGTACTGAAAAATTAAAAGTTTTAAAAACTTGTCACCTAGAATCCTACATGCATCAAAAACATCTTTTAAAACCAAACCAAAATAAATCCTTTCTTTGACATACAAAGGCTGGTGAATTCATCACCAGCAGGCCCACACTATAAAAAAATATTGTTTGTAACTAAGATAAATAGCTTGATTGTTAAAATGAGCTAAACATTTGAACAGAAAAAAAATTGTAAAGGTAAGAATTCAGTGAATACATTGTAAATGATGCATGAGGTTATGTCTATAAACTAAGAAATCATGAGTATTCAGACTTCACCAAAGACATATAAATGGTGAGAAAGCACATGAAAGGTTCTTCAACATCACTAGTCATTAGGAAAAAACAAATTTAAATCGCATTGTGACAGCACTACATGCTAAAGACAGACCACACCATGTGTTGCTGAGGACATGGGGCAACTAAAACAACTAAACTCTTGCACAAAGCTGGTGGGAATGCAAAATGGTATACCCAACTTTGGAAAATAGTTTGGCAACTTCCTCTTTATAAAAAGACACACTTTCCAACATAACCTAACAATTCCATTCCTAGGTATAAGCGACCCCCCCAAAATGGAAAACCTATGTCCACATAGCTGGTATTTGAATGGAGAGCCACCATGCAGTCATGTTAGCTGTTGTAGATTTAGCGTATACTATGGTTAAGTTCCCTTCTCAAAATACACATGATTTCTTAGCTTATAGACATTATAACCTCATGCATCACTTATAATGTTTTCACTGAATCTTTGCCTTCATTCTTTTTTTAAAGAGTAGATTACACAGATATTGAGTATTACATGAATGTTATATGAATAAAGTCTGAGTGTGGTACAGACTTATAAGTGTGCAGTACAGCAATATGATGGAGCCATTGATGACCAGAATTGGCCCTGTTATGTCATGTTCTGAGTAACATTTACCATTTAAGTAATCATGTCCAGTTTAATGGAATGGGATAGTTTTCTCATACATGTGTATTAAATTTGGGCTCAGTAACCGTGAAAAAAATTTCCCAGAGATTAAAAATAATTTTTTTAAATATATATATTTTTTCCATCACCATTTATCCCTGCTATACCCTCCTCCACCTCCACCCACACTCCTCTCCCAGCAATCACCACTCTGTTAATAATAATTAATTTGATTTCCAAAAATGTATCCCACAAGTTTTTCTGGAAAAAGTAACTGTCTTAAAGCCAGAGAATATGTAAGGAATTCTATCCTTGTGAGCAGACCTCCCAATGTAAATCCCAGCAAGACTTTCTCTGCTGGACTCTGTGGTTTAATATCTGTGCATGAAGGCAGATGCCGTACTGTCAAGTAACTGCTTAAACAGGCAGAAGTTAGCATCAGAGAGGGTTCCTGCGAGACAGGAAGAGAGAGGGAAGGGTACTTACAGGGGCTCCTCTCTATCCGAACTGTTTGAAGAGCGGAATTCTTCCTGGAATTAGGCTTGGAGTTGATGAGCAATCTGTCCCATATACCTAAAAACACACGCACACAGACACACTTAATTTACTACAGCATAAAGAAATGGGAGCCCATCAGCAAACTTCCTGTGACCACTCTCAAGTCTTGACTATCCCACATTTCCCAAGATGCTTTTCAAAAGAGGAGCACCCCAAGTTCCATTAGGAAGTTTTAGTTCTTCATGTACAACCGCCTTCCCTTTGTTAAGGCTATCTCACACATCCCTGTGCCACCGGTGCTGAGTAGTAAGCACACACTAAACTGCACTTTTCTGGATCAGAAATCCACCGGTGACAACAGTCAGTCCTGCAATGACAGAACGGAGGAAGCGGTACGGAGTACAGTAATGGTTAAGGGAAGCCAGAAATGGTTTACTAGCCGTGTTATCGGGCAAATGACCCAAACCTCTCTGAGCACCGGTCTCTTCATTTGTAAAACATGCCTGCCTGGTGAGCCCCCCTTCATGGGAGACGCTCAGCCTACAGAACACTGCCCTTTGGAGAAACTCCCTGCTCCCACCCACTCCACCGATTCAGCCTCATCACTCACTGCTCCTCCGACCAACCCGGCTCTCCCGCCCATCAGAGCCCAGAGCACGGGACTTCTTTCAAAGCCCCAGGCTCTGCACCCCGTTTCCAACAGCTGCAGCACCTCCTCAGTCTGGTACAGAGATCGCGCCCGCCCACCGGGCAGAGCTCCACAGCCCGCCGCTCACTAGGGCGGGCCCGGCGGCCGGCCTGGCGTCAGAGCTCGTACCCCAGAGGCGCGCGGACCGCGCTCGGCCCCAGCTCGGCCCCGGCCGGCCACGCGTCTCCGGCAGGTCACTATCTCCACGACACACCGTGGCTCTGCTTCCTCGCCGCACAGGCTTGTCGTGAGGCTTCAATTCTCCCACAAAAGCTCTATAGGCACCACGACTTCCCTTTTCCAAAGACGAAAACCGGGGAGTCGAAAATGCAAGCAACTCCCCTGAAGCCCCGCGACGCACGAGTCTTCATCCTCCAGCGCGGTGTCTGAAATCCTGCGTGGGTCCCCCGGCCCTCCGCCTCCCTCTTGGAGAGGGCGGCACACAGGGCCGGTTCTCTGAGGGGGGGACCAGGGACCATCCCTGACAGCTACCTGCTCCCGGCCCCGCCAACCGCCTGGACACGGACAGCCGGCGCCAAGGTCCGCCCCTCAGGGGAGGTGTCCGCCGCCGCGCGTGGCAGCGCGGGCGCGCAGTGCCGCTCGGCGCAGAAAAACCACCTCCAG